GGATCTCTGTGAGTTCGAGGCCAGCCTGGGCTACAGAGTGAGTTCCAGGAAAGGCGCCAAAACTACACAGAGAAGCCCTGTCTGGGGGGGAGCGGGGGAGACATATTTGAGCTGCCCAGTGTGTGCGCTGGGTTCTGCACTCCAGTCCTCTGACAGAGCAGTAAGTACTCTTAACTGCTGAACCATCTCTACAACTACCATACTGGGTGTTTCAAAACTCACACAGACACAAAAAACTTTCCCCCAAATATTTGGGTGCCAGTGACGAGACGCAGGGCTTTGTACATGCTAGGCAAACATTCTGCCCCTGAGCTAATGCCCAGACCACAAAAAACGATTTGAATAAAATGTGAGCTTCACTGGGTATGATAGCTCATGCTTGTAATACCATCACTCAGAAGGCTAAGGCAAGAGGATCAGCCTAAGTTCAGGGCCATCTTAGGCTACATAAAACCTTGCCTCAACAAACCAATAAGTAAGTAAATAATAGGAAAAGTGTCTTTAAGTGTGTAGAGACTCTTGAGTGTGACTAGAATGAAGGACTAGATGGAGTGTAAACCCAGGTTAGAAGATGATCAGATGGTAAGTGGTGACAGACAGAGCACAATTTAGTCCTTTAGTCCCTTCCTCCAAGGTGGGGCGGACTGTCATCTATTCAGGTGCTTTTCTTGAAGCTTCTATTCCTAACTGGCTATTAACTGAGGATCATAGAGAACTAACAGACAGCTCAGCTATTTACCAAGTTGTATCACCCCTATCTATGCTGTAGTTACTGATGTTATAAACCAGTGGTTTTCAGCCTTCCTAGTGCTGCAGCCCTTTAATACAGTTCCTCATGATGCGATGATCCAACTAAAAATTATTTCATTGCTACTTCATAACTATAATTTTGCTGCTGTTAGGAATTTTAATATAAATATCTGATATACATGATATCTGATACTCGACACCCCCCACAAAGTGTTTGCAACCCACAGGCTGATATAAAGGGAGACATGTGTCCAGAAGCCTGGCTTGACATATGTGACTAGCCATTCCCCTTTCTAGTATGATACTTTTCTTTTTAAGATTTATTTATTTAGTGTGGCGTGCACATGCACATGCACACTCACACACATCAGAAGAGGTTATGAGCCACCATCTGGTTGCTGGGAATTGAACTCAGGACCTCTGGAAGAATAGCCAGTGCTCTTAACAGCTCAGCCATCTCTCCAGGCCAGTAAGATGTTCTTATATCAAGTCCAAGTGCTTAGCCTCTACCAACTTGCACTTGCTGAACTGACTACACTGTCATTTGTTGTCAGGCTTAATTGGTTTGTTTGTTTGGTTGGTTTTTTGAGACAGGGTTTCTCTGTGTAGCCCTGGCTGTCCTGGAAGTTGCTTTGTAAACCAGGCTAGCCTCAAACTCAGAGATCTGCCTGCCTCTGCCTCCCAAGTGCTGGGTTTAAGGCTCAGGCTTAATGTTAAAAGGATCATTTTTTTTTAAAATCTAATTTGAACTTTTACATCTGTCATAAAGATGGTGTGGAACATACAAATTATGGTGTCATGTTTTCTTTTATGAAAAATCTCTTGAGAAAAAAATATCAAAAGCCTGAAGTGATAGCTCATGCTAATAATCCCAACTCATGGGAGGCTGAGATGGGATTATTGTGAGTTTGAAGCCAGCATGGGCTACATAGCAAGTTCCAGGCCATCCTGGCTTACAATGTTATACTCGGACTCAAAACATAAAACAACAATAATAACAAACTATTAGATATTAATACAAAGAATGTTGTTACCTCTTCTGAGTAAGCATTTTCTTGTTAACCTTATGAACATTGTAAATATTTAACTTAACTCTCTGGTTAGCTGCCAAAAATCTTAGAGCCAAGTCTGTGGCTCACCCATAACCAATGTGCTCTATGCCTCGTTAACTTCACTCCTGACTCCAGTTTGTCTGAACTCTAGTTATTTTTTCTTTTCTTCCTCCTCCCCCTCCCCCACCCCTGGTTCTCTTGCTTCTTTTCTAGGTATAGAAGCCAGGGGCTTGCACATGGCAGGCAAGTGCCCTACCACCAAGCTGCTCTCCTGGCAATGGTAGTCATCCTTAGTAAAAAAATCATTCATACTTAGAAGGCCAATGAAGGAGGATTACCGTACACTTCAGGCCAGCCTGATACACATAGCAAGTCCCATCCAGGGCTACTTAGGAAGAGAGACTTTGTCTCACAATATTTTTTTAATCTCACGGAATTCATGGCATTCTATGTATACAAAAATACATGTAGTTTCTCATAAGCAGCCTTATAACGTTTTTTTGAGTTATACAGATTATCACATGTTGTGTGTATATAAAACTGTCTTGTACACATCATTAATCACCTCATTTTACTTTAACATTTTTTCTTGGAAGGTATTTTTTGTGTACAGCTTTTTATTGGTTTGGTTTGGTTTGGTTTGGTTTGGTTTGGTTTGGTTTGGTTTGGTTTGGTTTGGTTTGGTTTGGTTTATCAAGGCAGGGTTTCTCTGTATAGCCCTGACTGTCCTGGAACTGGTTCTGTAGATCAGGCTGGCCTCAAACTCAGAGATCCGCCTGCCTCTGCCTCCTGAGTGCTGTGACTAAAGGTGTGCGCCACCATGCCCAACTCTGTGTACAGTTTTGTATGGTTTGATTACATGAAATTGGTTATATCAAATTTGCATGGCTTTAGTAGTATAACCAAATGATAAAAATACTTGATCTAATAGTTAGAATTGGTTGAATTGGTATCATCATTCTGTGTTCTTCTGTTATACTTTGTTTTGTTCTTTCACTCTGCCTATGGTCCTTTTCCTGATCTGTAGTTTTAGAAGTTCTGCTGAGTGGTCAGGCTAGTGCACAGCAGTTAACTGTTACCTCAGTTGAGTCTGTAGGCTCAAGTAAGCCATCTTGTACACCTGCAGATTTGCCTGTTAGCACAACCTTGATTGTCCACAAACATATTAATCCCATAAGATACTTTGTCTGTGTTTCCTCTAAGTTAACCAACCTGTTATTTAAACAAATGAATGTGAATGGGTATTTTGTTTCCAGCTCTCATTTGCTATAATTGGTTTGTAGTGCTAGCCGGATTTTCTGATTATTTCTATGGTATCATCTAGTTGATAGCATGAATATTATATATACACCTTTTTTTTAACTCTTTAAATTCTGGGCTTATTTGATGCACACCTTTAAGCCTAGCACTCAGGGGCATAGGCAGATAGATTTGTTTGAGTTCAAAGCACACCTGGTCTACATAGTGAATTCCAGGCCAACCAAGTCTATATAGTGAGAGCTTGTCTCAAATAAACTCTTTAATTATCTTCAAGGAAATTTGTTTGGCCAACTTTGCAGAGTTATGTAATGTTCTTTTTTAAGATGCTTTTTTAACCAGTGACCAAAACCAAGACAGTGGGCCAGCAATATAGATTATCAGGAAAAGGCACTTGTCTGTGCAAGCCTGATCACCTGAGTTCAATGCCCTAAGCCCGCAAGATGGAAGAAGAAAGTTTACTCCAGCAGGTTGTCCCCTGATGGCCACACGTGCATCATGGCAAACACATCCAAATACACACATACGATAAATGTAAATTTTTAAAAATAACAAGGATAAAATCATTTAATTCATTGATCAAAATGATAGTAGCAAATCAGTGCTAAAACTAATGCTCAAGCCTGGAATCCTGATCCTTCTGCCAATATGTATCAATGTCAAAAGAACTTCTGACAGACATTGTAAGCATTGCTTTACATAGTCTTTATCCTACCCGTTGAAGTTTAAATATGGGAAGTGAGTAAAAACATCACTCACGCATAAAGCTGGGCAAATTTAGGAATAGATTTCATTTGCATTACTTTATCTGCATGATTTTCTGTTCTTGAAATTCCATACCTTTTTTGTTTGTTTGTTTGTTTGTTTGTTTGTTTGGTTTGTTGGGTTTTTGTTTTTGGGTTTTGTTTTTGTTTTTTTTTTGTTTTTGTTTTTGTTTTTTGGTTTTTTTTAGAGACAGGGTTTCTCCGTGTAGTTTTGGTGCCTGTCCTGGAACTCACTCTGTAGACCAGGTTGGCCTCGAACTCACAAAGATCCACCTGGCTCTGCCTCCCGAGTGCTGGGATTAAAAGGGTGTGCCACCACCTCCCACACCTTTTAACTGCAGCTCTCACCGCTGTCATGTTCTGTTATGGAAGGAAGAAGAAATATTCTCTTATCTCTTTAAAATTAATGTAATGGGAACTATTGTTAATTAGTAACTTTTTTCTCCAGATACTTTGAATTCATCTTTAATCTAAAAATGATTTATTGTTATCATGCATTATCATATTGAGACAGTCTCATGTAGCTCAATAAGACCTCAGACTCACCATGTAGCTAAGATTGACCATGAACTCCTGATCCTCCTGCTTTCCCCTCCCAGTTGGAGGGATTACAAGCATGCACCACCACACCTACTATACATATTCATTAGAGTTAGAATGTGTTTACTGCTGTGATTTTTGGCAAAACATCAGCTCTAATTTTAACAAATCTCTACATTTAGATATAAAATTAAAATTCTATACTGTCTCTGAAACTTTTCATTTTCATTCTGATTGTTCATATCCAGTACATAAGCTAAAGTTTCTTTAGTGGTTTTTTGGTGTGTGTGTGTGTGTGTGTGTGTGTGTGTGTGTGTGTGTGTGTGTGTGTGTGTTTAGTTTGGTTTTTCAAGACAGGCTTTCACTGCATATCCCTGGCTGTCCTGGCACTCACTCTGTTGACTAGGCTGGCCTTGAACTCAGAGATCTGCCTGCCTCTGCCTCCCAAGTGCTGGGATTAAAGGTGTGCACCACCACCACTCAGCTTTAGTGTTTTATGATGTCAGCATTGTTGGAAATTATTGACAAAGACTTTATAATTTTTTGTCATCTTACCAATAATCCTGTAAGAGTAGCTACTGTTTTATAATTTAATATCATATTCAACAGTAAATACTGTCTTCTGACTCTCCTTCAGCTTCTGGGATTTCTGAGAAGCCCTGCTCAATACAACATGGACCCTGTAGTCTTGAGTTATATGGACAGTCTGCTTCGACAGTCAGATGTCTCACTGTTGGACCCTCCAAGCTGGCTCAATGACCATATTATTGGGTTTGCCTTCGAATACTTTGCCAATAGTCAGTTTCATGATTGCTCAGACCATGTCTGCTTCATCAGCCCCGAAGTCACCCAGTTCATTAAGTGCACCAGCAGCCCTGCAGAAATTGCCATGTTCCTTGAACCCCTGGATCTTCTGCACAAGAAAGTTGTATTTCTAGCCATCAATGATAATTCCAACCAGGCGGCTGGGGGTACCCACTGGAGTTTGTTGGTTTATCTCCAAGATGAAAATAGCTTCTTTCATTATGATTCCCATAGCAGAAGCAACTCAATCCATGCAAAGCAGGTAGCAGAGAAACTGAAAGCCTTCTTAGGGAGTAAAGGAGACAAACTGGCCTTTGTGGAAGAGAAAGCCCCAGCTCAACAAAACAGCTATGACTGTGGGATGTACGTGATATGTAACACTGAGGCCTTGTGTCAGAACTTCTTTAGACAACAGCCAGAATCCCCTCTGCAGCTACTCACCCCGACATACATCACAAAGAAGAGGGGAGAATGGAAAGATCTAATCACCAGACTTGCTAAAAAAAAGAAGTAGCTACTGAAGAACGCCGATGATGTTTGAAGTCTCCTCTTTCTGCCCTTCCCTATGGTAACAGCCTCAGTGCCTGAGGGAAAACCACCAGATGAAACTTTACTATTCCTACTTCTTTGTTTTCTTGAAAAAAATGTCATCCTCTGCATTATCTGAATGGGAAGTTTCACTTTAACCCTGAGGAGAGCAGTGCATCCTGTGAAAACATCTTAAACTTATGTACCAAAACCTTTAGAGAGAGAGAGAGAGAGAGAGAGAGAGAGAGAGAGAGAGAGAGAGAGAGAGAGA